TTCCTCTCTGTCTCCTGGAGATGCTTCGGTGCTGCAGGTCGGGACTTTGAGTAGCACCTCGCTGGCCCTGGTGCTCACCTGTGGTCTCAGGGACCTCAGGACAGGCCAAAACGATTTCCACCCATTTCAGAGAAACCACAACTGCCCTGGCCCCGTGGTATTGCACTGTGCGTTGGTAGCGTGAAAGGCGCCGCTGTCCCACCGGCTCCCAGATGCCTGGGAACGCCTCTCACTCCAGGGGAGCCACTGGCATTGGAGAGTCCCCGAAAAGTGTCTGTGCAGACGGTGCACAGAGGAGGTTCGCCCCCGCAGCCTGCAGGCCCCTCGGCCAGCTTCCAGGGCCACCGTGAGGGATGAGGGCAATGCCAGCACTCGTGGATGCTCAGATGCCCCCAGCCACACTGTGCTGAGGTGTTACCAGTCTCGGATCGCCCTGTGGGACCTCGGGACTGTAAACACAATCTGCATGGCTAGAGTTTTCAAAATGCCATTATGAGAGAAATAAGATAAACGTTAGATGCTTTTTTTTTCCTGACCTGCAGAAACTGATCTCTGATTGCAAGAAGGCATCAAAAGGCCAGGAGTGGAAACCGAGGCACAGAGCTTCACCGAAGGCAGCCAGCAGGACTGGGAGCAGAGCACAGACTGGGGTAACACAGTGCTTAAAAGCCCGGTACAGCCTAGACCCATGGGGAGCAGCTGGCTGCGGATGAGATTTTTCTGTGCAACTCCTGCAGATGTCTTTTCTCCATAAATGCTGCAGAAATGGGAGCTTGAGGCTCCAGTGACAAAACCGATTCAGGCCGATACACCCAGGGCGGCATCTGCAGCACCAACAAACCACAGGTCTCTTCTGGTCTGGGGCCCTCATCCGGGAAGGGGCATCAGCGATGGGATGGTGGTGACAGCACTGCATGCTTAAGCCATGACATGAAGGAGGAGGAAGGCCAGAGCCATCAGCACCTTGGTCTTCTGGGCCACAGACAAGGAGGTGGCGGAGGGCTCGGCTAGAGGGAGACACAAGCGCCCGTGAGCGCAGGGCAGCCCGAGCGAGGCGGGACCAGCCCGGAGAGGGAAGAGGCATTTCATGGCTCTCCATCCCCTCCCCAGCTTGGCCATACCCACCTGCCAGCCCGTGGCTTCCCCCTCTGGCACCGCTCTGAAGCCCAGAGATGCCCCCAAGCGCAGCTCGCCTTGCAGAGTCCCTCCTTCCCCACCAACGACTGCGCTCCCAGGGCCGAGACCACCGTGCACCCCCTTCCCACCCGAATTTTGCCATGCGGTGGCTGCAAAGTGGCCGGTACCTTCCCAGGAGCAGGGCTGGCGGTAGGTCAGCGAGGCGGTGCTGGAGGAAACAGGGTTGCTGGCTCTGCAGGTATAGGTCTCTGCCCAGGGGTTGAAGGAGAGGTTCAACTGGGGGCCCTGACTGTGCTCCAGCAGCTTGTGGGGTAGAATCCACTCGTATGTCACGTCCTTGAGCTCCACGGAGCATATCAAGGTGACTTCGCACTGCTCGGCGTCCCCCCTCACCTCGGCTCGCACCATGGGCTTCGGCACCTGCTCTGCAAGGCCCTGGGCCCCCCCCCCCGCGCCCCCGCCGCGCTCCCCGCTCACCATGCACCGTGAGGCGAATGCTCTCCCCATGCTCCTTGCCAGCCTTGTCTTCCAGGTAGACCCAGTATGTGCCGCTGTCACTTTTTTGCAGGTAGCTGATTTGCAGGGTGTAGTTGGGGAAGAGCTGCAGCCGCCCTCGGAAGGTGCTGTCAGGGTAGTGGGGGGCCCCACTGCTTTTCTGGATGGCAATCTTCTGGGAGCTTTCATAGCACCAGTAGATTTGGTAGTACAAGGTCTGGTTTTGCAGCCCGGGGCTGAGGTTCACCACGCCATCAATGGCCCCGGACACGGTCCCCTGGCTGCTCTCCACCACAGCTGCTGAGAGAGCGCCACCGAGGTCCCCCTGCCCCCCATTTCTGCCTTTGTTGCTCTCATCACCCATCTTCGGCCCACGGGAAATCCTCAGGAAGGGAAATGCCCGGCCAGCAGCAGTCACACCTTGGGATGGGGACAGCCGCCACCGTTGCTCCGTGCAATCTGGGCACCACCCCAGCACCTGCTGCCGGCCCTGAGGGTGGCTCGCGCTGGAACGCCCCTCACCCCAGGGGGGAACCGGCCGCCATACCTTGCCAGAGGAGGAAGAGGAGCACCCCTGCAAGGCCTGCCACCATCTTTGCTGTGCATCTGTGCCCAAAAAGCCAGGATGGAGATTCCTCCTGCCAGCTGCTAGCGAGGGTCTCACTGGCCGGCAGCCCCCCACCGCTGCCCAGGCCAAGGGCACGGCTCTCACTTCTGTGAAATGAACCCGCGGCGCAGAGAGAAGATGGTGCAGTTCCTCATTTACCACCGGAAAGCAGGAGGGTCATGTGTCTGAGGCCCCGGGCGCCACGCTGCGGCAAGAACATGGCCACCCCAGGCTCCCTCCTGGGGATCCCACGGAGCATCCCCAAGGGCTGAGTCGATGCTCACAGCCCCTGATGGACCCTCTGGACACAGCACTGAAATGTATGCATAACCCTCCGTGCTGAAATCCAAGTGCACTGGCCCCATGAGTAGCATGAATGCTTAAAATTAAACATTTTCATTAAGGCCAAATTAGTTCCTGAATTAAGGTATTTCAGGGCCTCCGCTTGACATTGACTGAGCCATACATGGGACATCGAACCAGTGCGCTGAGCTCGGCAGGGAGCAGCTGCTTTCCCCCACGCCACCCAGGGACACGCAAGGAGGGCGCCAGCAGCGCCTGCTGGGCCCTGACCCGCTGTAATCCTAGCACCGGGCACTTCGCGTCCATCCCAGCCAGGAGTCAATGGCAGTGCCACCGAGACCTTCTTGTGAACGGGCCATTGCACAAGCAGCGCCGGCGCAAGGCCGGATCCAGCCAGACAGTGGCCCTGAGTGCTGGCACAGTCGACCCAGTGCCGGATTGTACCATGGTGATGAGGAAGCAAACTTTACTGCTGGGAAAGCAAACTGTTGCCTCAGTGCTAACAGCAAATTATCACCAAACAGCTCTATTAGCATAAATTACCATGCCAGGATGAAGCCCAGCACGCCGACGCATGCTCCAGCTCCATGGATGTTTCCCCCTCGCTAGAAACACAGGGACTGGGATTTCAGCCCTGTTGCTCTGGCAAGAGGCTGAAATTAGTCCTCTGCTTCCAGTGCCTGTTTGGAGATGGCGGCCTCAGCCCGCTGCAGCTCCTGCTCACGGGTGCAACAGTCGCCACATCCCCAGACGGATTTTAGTCTCTCTGTGCCAGAGCTTAGGCTGCTTCCTCTGCATTCGACTGGACTGTCCTGAGCCCAGTGCATTGAGCCAAAGCCCCAGCACCAACGCTGAGGGCTCCCTCCAGGTCTTGACCCACTAAACTGCTCCTGAGCAGCTCCCCAAGGGGCTGATCCCAGGTGAAGGGATAGGATTTAACTAAGAAGAAAAAATTGGGGAGAAGAGTCTATTTGGGCTCCTTTGGCATTCGCCTGCATTGCGGTGCACAAAGTGTTTGACTTGCACCTGCAAATCTTGAAACACCAGGGACAGGACTTCAACTTTGCAGTAAAGTCGACTGACACGAGGAGCCCCCTTGGCTCCTGATCTGTGAATAAAGCGATTCATACTCCCTCCTGGGTACGTTTCAGACTATAAAGAGTCAATTAAACACCACAGTCGCCTTGTGCAGTTGAGCTTATATTCACACCTAAAACAATTCCCAAGGTGTGTTGAACCTATCAAGACCTGGAAAAAAAGAAAATCCAGATCATGCTCACACTAGACACATACGTATCACACGCATTTCAAAGCGCTCTTCTCCAGCAAGAGGTCCTAGTCACCCGATCTTTTCTCCTTCTCCTGAAGGAAGCCTCCAAGGTGCAGCTTGGCTCTGCAGTCTTTGGGAAAGCCTGGTCTGCGACGTTCCTGTCCCCAGAGGCAGCAAGCCTCTGGAAGAAAGCTCTGCCCAGGGCATCCTCAGGGACACTGGCAGTCTTCTCCAGCGCCCCAAGCTCTGGGAGAAGAGGCACATGAAGAGAAGAGGGGCCTTGCCAAAGCAACAGAGGCAGCTAGGAGAGGTGGTGGCCCACGGGAGCCGGAGGTGAGGTCTGCGGCAGGGAACGCCAGCGTCTTGAAGTCTCTGCAAACTGCAGGAAAACGAGCGATTTTTAGTGTGTGTCTGCAAGGGGTGGGGAACGCCTCATGGCACTTTGGGTACCTCCTTCGAGGCTATGGCATTTCCAGGCTCTCATCCTGCAGGCAACAGGCCTGCGAGGGGCTTTTCTTAGCAGAAAATTTCTAATAAAAATTTGCTCATCAGCACAGAACAGGGATAGGCAACAAGGAGGGTGGATTCCTGCTTGGGAGAGAAGACAAGGGGAGCAAGGTGCTCCAATTTACACAGGCTGCCCTCAGGATTAACAGCAAGACCATGTTAGCTCCTGGGGGCCCAGGGAGTGAGGTGCTGGGCTCGTCTCCCTGTGGGTCCATTACCTCGGTGTAGGCAGTGGAGGTTAAAGCTGGCTCGAGCCTCTTCCTCTTGACAGAAGGGGACTGCGAAGCAGAGCAAGAATATGCTTTTAGAGACGCTCCTGCTCGCCCGCCACGGTTTGCTGAGATCTGCAAAGGTTTCTACGGCTTGGCCATAAATCTATCCTGGAGGACTTCTTGGGAGTATCTGAGGACCCCACTGAGCACCTGTGTCCTACGGACATGGAGGCGACCAAGGTTTCCATGCCCTGGCGAAGGGCAGACCTGGCCCCAGGAGCTGCGGCAGGAGAAACTCACCCTCTTGCTGGGCTGCACCACGGAGTAGATCGTGTGGCTCTCCGGCTCCCGAGGGCAGCTGGGCCCCTGGCACAGGGAAAGTCAGGACATTTAAAGCAGCCAGCTCAGCCACAGACCTTTTGTGCCTCCCCAGCCCCGCAATGTGGGAGCTCACTCTGACCTTACCGGTGTTTTGGAGCAGATCGTGGTGTAGATGGTGTTTCCTACCCTGGCAGCCTCACTGCTCCCGTTCTGCAGGGGAAAATGGGCCCCAGCTTGGTTAAAGGATCCAGCTCGGAGCAGGGAAAAGACGTTTTTAGACAGCGGTGGGAGGCAGCACAGGGCAGGGGTGCCCAGAGGCCCCAGCACTCACGTGGTCACGGCTGCGCTGGGCATTGCCCACCTCCTCGTAGATGGTCAGCGGCTGCTCAGCATTTCCTGCTGGACCTTAAGCAATTAGAGCAAGAGGACTGCTGTTTTAGGGGCTCCAAACCCTGGGGGACTTGGCCCTTGGGAAACACTTGAGCAAAGCAAATCAGATGGGAAGAGCGATCCTGATGGCAAATTGGAAGTTCTGTGTTGTCCCACATCAGCCCAAAAAGGAGAAGCAACCCCAGGACAGCTCCTCACCTCGCCTCCTCCGGCACCTCCAGGTGATGAGGGCTGCAGAGATGGCCAACACCAGTCCCAGGGCTGCAGCCAGCGCCCACCACAGCTCAGTGGGGAGCAACCCTGGGGAGAAACGAGGGCAGAAGAAATGGGGAAACCTTCGATATGGGGCAGAGCCCCTTCCAAAGCACATTCTCCATCACACTGCCCCCAAATACCCTGCAGTGCGGGAAAGGGACCTGGCTGGTAAGAGCCAACAGCAGGGCTTGGGCAAGGGACTCTCTCCCTGGGTGTCCAAACCACACTGTGGGCAGGAAAAAACCCTTTGGCCAGGACCAAAATCCAGCCTTTCACACAGCCGAGGGCAAATCACCTGGGGGGCTGCACAGTGCTGCGACATCAGTGCTGGCCGTGGCCCAGCTCACAGCATTGCTGGCATTGCAGTGGTAGACGGTGTGGTTGGCGTCCTTTCGGAGCTGCAGCTGCAGGGAGGACTGGTGCCCCACGGCTCCGGCAGCGCTGGCACGGGACCAGCGGTAGGTGACGTTGTGGGTGCCGGGGACAGCACAGGCCAGCAAGAGGCTGCACAAGCTGTGCTCGCGGAGCACCACGCGCGCATCCAGCACCGGCTGGCCGACGGGCGCTGGAAGGACAGAGGCGGGGAGGGGGGCCGGGGCAACACCACGGTGGCAGCGCGGCCTCCAGACTACTCACCCAGCACTGACACACAGAAGCAGCTGGTAATCTCGAAGCTCGATGCGTTCTCAAAGTGTGCAGCGTAGACACCACTGTCTGCCTCCGTGACCAGGCTGATCTGCAGGGAGAGCGTCCCCCGATGGAAGATGGCTCGCTGGCTAAAACGACTAACTGGGGGCCGCTCTACGCTGCTGCTCTTAGCTGTCAGGATTCGGAGCCGCTCCCCTTTGTCCAGTCTCACTCTCCAGGTAATGCTTTCCCAGAGCAGTGATGGTTCCTCTGGCACCAGCCACAGCTCTCCTCCGACAGCTGCCACTATGTCCTTGCACCCTAGGGGTTCGCAAACAGTAGGAGAAAGAGCTGAGTGGGGGGATTAGGGAGCCAGGGCACCAGCAGAGGGTACACGGCCACCCGCTGTGGAGCAGGGCTGTGCCCCAGACCCGCAGGCTGGCTCCCCCGGTGCAGCCCCACACGCATCCCCCTGGGCAAGCTCAGCCCCACCATCTCTATCCCTTTTGTCCCATCCCAGGGGCACCCCTTGGCCCCAGAAAGGAGGTGGGGACTTGCAACACCACTGGGAACAGGCTCCAGGCTCCTGCACAGTACCATCCCTAGCCAGTTGCTTATCTTTCACACCCTATCCTCTGCCCTCACAGTGCACGGATGTGCACGCAACATCCTCTCCTCCCTACCTGCCCCTTGCACTGCCCAGCTGTTGGGTTGCAGACCCTACAATAATACACTCAGGTGGCCCATTTGCACCCCAGCTCCTTCCCTACCAGCCCTGCCCAGGGAGGAGAGGGGCAGTTGCCTGCTGGACCACTGAGAAGCCATGAAGCCATGCTGAGCCTCCCCCACTTCTTTCACACCAGCCCCGGATGTCAAGGGCTCTGGCAGAGCTGAGATAAAAAACCCTTAAAATAAACCCGAGTGGCCACCCAGTCTGGGTGCGCACAGCCCTGTGGTTTTTCCTATCTGCACGCAGCTCCAAGCGAGCACCGGCCACCATGGGTGCCCAAGCTTTGCACAGCATGGCCACATACGCATGCATGCTGCGCATGCATGCTGCCTGTGCATGCCACCCATGCACACCCACACAGCCCAGCTCAAGCTGCCTCTCCAGGGAAAGCTCCAGCCTCCAGGAGCTCTGCTCAGCCCCAGCTTCCTGCAGCAGGCTGGGGCTTTGCACAGCAAAGAAGAGAGCCCAGAACAGGGCTCCCCCAGGAAAGGAAAGAGCTGGCCTAGCCCCCAGGAGCTGTTTATCGGCTTCTGGCCCTGATGGGTCACACCTGGGGCTGTTTCCCATCACTCCTGGCACCAGACTACCCTCGAGCAGGAGGAACTACAGCTGCTGCTTTTGGGGCTGTTTGGTGGTGTGAGCACCTTGAAGGCACTAGGAGCCGAGTCTCACTTGTTTAGTTGTCCTCCTCTCCCTTGGTAAATCCTCGCTTTCCTGGGGAACGCTCATCCTGGCTGTGCCTCCTCTAGCCTGGGCAGAGCCCTGGCCTCCTCTCTTTGCAAGAAGAGGAACCAAAGGGAAATTTGGAAGCAAAGCCTCAAAAGATACGTTATATCAGACGAATTTTATCCCAGCGCTCTTGGGGGATGTGTTGCCCCCAGGCGCTTGTGTGGCTCAGCAGGAGGCTCGACTGCCCTCTCCACCCTAGAAAACAGCTCAGGAGCACAAGTTTGTGGTGGAAAAAATCAAACCGGTCCTCCCTACAGGATGGGAAAGCAGGAGGGACAAAAGTAGCCCAGGTTTGTTGCACGGAGGCGATCATATGCTGGCTGGGGCTGGTCTCCAAGGTAGGAGTTTGCACCCTGTGAAGGGCCAAGCGTGGCGGCGAGCTGTGGCGCGTCCAGTGGGAGACCCCGGCCACCCGGCACCGTCAGCAAGGAGGGAGGCAGGTGCTGGGGCGTGGGCGTGCAAGTTCAGGGAAAAAATGACTCAAAATCTGCCCCGTGGTCCAAAGGTGTGATTGTAGCTCACTGCCTGCAGTTGGTACGAGCAGTGGGGCCGGTGCAGCACGGCTTAGGTTAACTGTGCCAGTCAGTGGGGAGGTTTTGCAGCTGGCGCTGAGCTGCCGGCCACTGCAGGCTCAGTCACTCCAGCTTTGAGCTGAAATCACAGGCAAAAGGTGCTGAGTTTGTTCAGCAGAGAAAACTAGCTTTGAAAAGCTGCATTTCTGGGAAGGTCTGGACAGAATGCAGCTCTTGGGCGCTGCTCCAGGAGGAAGGAAGCTTATTTCGAGCAAACCCTGGGCCCTGCACCCAGCAGGCAGCAGCGCTGCCTGCAAAGGGGAACCAGCGCCCTGGGACAGTCTGGGCCATGTTTACCTGGCTGGGTGCAGAGAGACAGCGCGCCACAGGCCAAAAACCCTCCTCAGCACTAGCTTTGTTGTCCTGCGGCTGCTGCTTCCCACTGGGCATCCGTCCCTGTGAGCGCCTGGAGCCCCCCAGCCAGCTCTGCCCACACGTCCCTGCTCCACTGCCCAGCCAGAGCCTCCCATCCTGGCTGCAGGGACAAGCTGGTTTGTCCCTGGTGCCGCAGTGAGCCCCGTTTTGCAGCCTAGCTCACGTGCATCATGCCCCTTCCTCCTCCTCACCTTCCCCAGCGGCGGCAAGCAGCATGAAGCAGAGCAGCACTTGCTGGGGCAGTGCTGGCTGGTGGCACCTGGTGCCAGGCAGCTCCATGCTCCACGCCGGCAGCGAGCAGGCTTCCTGCAGTGGGGCAGGCAGC